CCCTCCTCTCTCCTCGGTTCCCCTCCTCGACTCCTCCGCTCGTATATCCTGTGACACGAGGATAGGCACCATCTGTTACACTAACCTCTATATATATATTCATGGCTCCATCTTGTTGCTGCTTGTTATTAGAAGGTTTGATATTTCCCCATAAGGTTTATTACAGTTGCATCTGGTCTCATTAAGCAAAGGGGTCTATCACTCTGTTAATGTAATTGTTCAAGTGTAAAGCATCAGCTGACCTGAATGTAGCTGTGGGTCAGAGTGATGAAGTCCTCAACGGTCATCTGCATCACAATAAGTGCCTCTCGTACACACTCTGCATCCTCTGGCTGGACACATACAGGGTGTCACAAGACGTTTTTCACCTCGCACGTTTTTTTTTCCTTTTCTTTATTATGTAATTTACAAAGACATGCATAACAGGAAATACAATAATAAAATACAAGGACAATGCTTGCACACATAAAAAAACAAACAAAAGAATAACATAAGGGGTGGGGGGTTACAGTGTCAATTGTATTTTCTGCATGCAAAAGGTCTTGTATGAGTCCATGATATACGCCATAACATAGATATACTTCGATTTTTTTACAAAGGGGAGTGGCCCAGATCCAGGATTGACCTTATCGTGACCCATAGTCTATTATCTACAATATAAAAAATCTGATAGGAAGGAGGCAGCTTCTTCCATACTTTACATGTTCCTTCAGCCATTTATTTAAGTCGAAGCATTGGGCTTTCTGACTTTCCTTTTCATTAGAATGAGGCGTTTAGTTGAGAGGCATGCCTGTAATATTCACCCTTCAATAGAATGATTGAGTTTATATGTGTGTGTGTGTGTGTGTGTGTCACCTGTGCACAGGGGGCCCTCCTCATCCAGCTCAAACTGCGTGGGATGCCTTGTTTCTCGATGGCGCAGTTACAGCCCAGAGCCTGCAGCGCCGTCAGCAGAGTCCCGCCTCCTTCCAGCTGTAAGAGAGCTGCAAACAGAAACACTGAAACATGTCCTCAAAAAACCCTCACATTGCTCAAATAATGGCTGCAATGCATACAAGTATATGAATGCTGAAAAGATGAGACTAAACAGCAATGCTGGCTTAGATGTGTCATAAAAAGGTGAAGACCTCTATGATAAAATGATAATTAATTATTGTTAAAATATTTGGAATTATGAAAGTTATGAATATTTTGACGTTCGAACAGTTTCACCGATGGGAAATAAAAAAACACAGCAGAATGTTTACTGATGGAGAACATACACTATATAGACAATATGTATTGGGACATTCCTCTTAATCGTTGAATTCAGGTGTTTCATGAGGTGTTTCATTCAGTCCCACTGCATCTTGTATCTATGTCAGGATATAATGTGTTTAGGAAGGACAGACTGAAGGGAAAAGGAGGGGGTGTGTTGCTTTATGTGAGGAATACATTTACTTGTAGGGAGATTGCACTCTAATATTGAGTTTGATTGTGTTGGGTGTGGAAATCAAACTATCTGAGGAAATGTCCCTCACCATGATTTGCCTATATCGACAACCCACCGCTAAGGTGGATTTCTATGATCAGGTAAAACTCATGCTGAATTCTTGTGACTCCAACAAAGAGCTAATTATTCTAGGAGACTTTAATATCAACTGGAATGACAAACAAAATAGAAAGAGCTTAAAACGGATCACGGATAAACACAACTTAATACAACTAATGGATCAACCGACTAGAATAACCAAAACCTCCAAGACTATTATAGATTTATTATTTACAAACAAAGTTGACAGTAAGTTGTAGGTTTTAACTATTCCGACTGTTTTTTCTGACCATAATCTTGTTCTTTTTGCCAGGAAACTAACAAAAAAAAGGTTCATGGCCACACCTAAAACCCCTGCCTTCGGTTCTCGCTTCATCCCCAAAAACCTGCAACAACGTTTTATGGAGGCAGTGAAAATTATTAATTGGGGGGACACTCTCTCCTCTGAAGACATTGGTGAAAACAGTAATCGGTTTATATCTAAAATTAACGATGCAATGTCTTCCTTTTCAAGAAGAAGGTGCCTTAGGGACAGGAAGGAACATCATCTTCCCACAAATCTACAATGCAGGAATTTAATGAAATCTAGAGACCAACTATTGAAGCAGAGCTTGAAATCCGGACTATCCACTGATAGTCAGAAATTCAC